CCCCCCCCCCCCCCCCCCCCGGTGTGGTCCCTTGTCGCCCAGCGACCAGCCCCCGCCTCGCTGGCCGCCCCTTCTCCCCGGCGCGCCAGCCTGATCCCCTGGGGGCTGAACGATCCACCAAGCACCCATCTGGAGGTGCCAGCTCGGGTTATTGCGGGCTAGCGGAAACTTTGCACCATGCTGCGTGTTGCGTGCAGGCGGCTGTATCAGCAGGCGTCGCAGCTGGCAGTGACGGTGAGTCAAAAAGGGTGCACCCCTTCGCGGCCGAGGGCCCCAAGCCACCCTGGCAGCGGGCAGCGGGCGGCGGGCTGCAGCAGGGCCCGCTACAACGCGTGCTCCTGCCTTTGCCTGCGCATGTTCCCCACCTCTGCGGCCCCATGCACCTGCAGGGCGCCGCCGGCGCCGCGCCCAGCCTACGGCTGGGACTCCCCGCCAGCGCGGCTGCGGCGCTGCTGGCCGTGCGTGGCGCCAAGACCACCACTGGCATCGTGGGCCTGCCGGTGGTGCCGGATGCGCGGGAGGAGCTCAAGGCGCAGCTGCAGGCTGTGCTGGACGCCGTGGCCATCATCCCGGAGCATGCCGAGTACCGCAGGTCGGTTGAGAAGACGGTGCGGTACAAGCTGTCGCTGGCGTCGCAGGTGGGTGGAAGCGTAGGCGTTTTGTGCATGTCTGTGGGTGGGTCGGGCTGGGGTAGGTGTTGTGGGTTGGTCTGGGCAAGGGGATTGGTCGCGCGTTGCGGCGTGTGTGCAATGAGCGGGCGCAGGCCCCCATTGGAGCCGGCCTGGGCTGGCGCATCTGGGAGCAGGCGCCGCAGCACCTCGGGAGCACGCGCGCCGCCGTCAACCCCTTGCAGCACCTGGCTGAGGCGCTGCCCTGCCCATGCCATGCGCCTGCCTGCGTGCTCCAGGCCGACACCCCCGACGAGCAGCTGGAGGAGCTGCTGAGCAAGCAGCTGGAGGAGGAGATCAAGCTGTGCAAGGAGGAGCTGAGCTTGATACCCAAGATGGCAGGTGGGCTTTAAAATGCTGCGCGGGGGTGCATGACGTGGGCTCGCGGATGGGCGGCTGCCAGGCCTGCCCTGGCCTGGCGGTCAGAGGAAGGCAAGGCGGGGCGGGCCTGACCCCTGCAGCAGTTCTGGTGCCAGGAATGCCATGCATGCCAGCAGCATGCCAGCAGCGACATGGCCCTGCCCCCGCGCCGTCCCCTCCCCGCTGCCAGTGCCCTCGCTGGCACACAAGCCCGGGCGTGCGTGCTTGCCGCACATGACCCTCGCGGTGCTGCCATGCGCCATGATGCTGCCCGCTGGTGCAGAGTGGAAGCCGTGGGAGGTGCCTGAGGGGTATGAGGTCGAGTTTCTGGAGGAGCAGCAGGTGGAGGCCAAGGTTGGCGGCGCGCCCAAGTGAACAGATGGCGGGGGGGCAACAGCCCGAGGCGCCGCCGGCCCGCACGCCTGCCTGCTGCTTTTCACGGTGCTGGTCCACTCCGCGCCTGCTCGTAACACATCTTCCTGGAGTGCCCAGCGGCACGGCTGGCAGCTGCCGCCGACAGGTGCCAGGAGCTGAACGCGCGGGGTGGTGTCACGGCAGCTGCAGTGCGGCGGAACCCCACAAGCAGCAGCGCACCACTTTCCTGCTCTCTCTCCTCTCCCGGCACCAACATGGGTGTCCACAGGTCCTGCTGCTGCAACCCTCAGCCAACACCCCCCGGGGGCATAAACCCTGACGGCGGCAGGCGCCGCTCTCGCCGTCAGGCACCACCGCCCCTGCCCGAGCACAGTCGACCAACGCCCAGGGGGATGGCGGGGTGATGGCGGCCAAGAGCGGGCCAAACCAGCAGGCGGGATTTTCACGTGATTGGTTCGGTACAAGAATGTTGTACTAAAACCCCACGCCCTCCCTAAGCGACGAGTCGCGAGCTGGCCGGCACCTGGCCAAATTTTGGCCGAGGGTTTGGCCGAGGGTTTAGGCTTGAGAAACCGGTTTTTTGGACTTCCGACATGATCAGCACCAAGGGAAAGGCTGAACTGGTGTCCACTCAGTGGAGTATTGCTGGGCGGAAGCGGTGCAGTACAGCAGCTTGCTCCGGAGGAAAAATGAGAGAGATCCTGTACGTGACTCCTGCTTAGCCGCGTCAGGCGACGCGCCGACAGCTTTCGGATGCAAACAAGCTGAGCGCAGCAGCGTTCAAAAGCAGACCGGTTGGGGTGCCGGCTGGCCGACCCTCCGCCTTTGAACCCTCCCCTACACAAGGCAGGCCCCACCTTGTAGCAGCGCCCATGACGGCCAGGGCCATGACAATTGTGACGACGACAGCCTCCCTGGCGCCAGCCACAAGGGGCGGTGGCGCCCGTGCCGCCGCCGCCGCTCTCAGGGGCAAGGTCTGCACTGCGGGGTGGGGCACAGCCCCCGTCTAGGGCGGCCCGCGCCTGGACCTGCCGCTCCTGGTCGCAGCTGTCTGCACTGCAGCGCAGCTGGTGTCGCTGATGGCCTGGAGCAGCCTGCCAGGCGGCGAGCGCTGGCAGCGCCTCGGGCTGGCCGCTCTGGCGGCCTCCACCTGCTTGCTGCGCGCCAGGGCCCGCTCGCTCTACACGAGGTGGCAGGGGCAGCTGCTGGGCTTGTGCCACGCCGCGCTCTTCGTTTTCGAGCTGCGCAAGCCCCCAGGTGAGGCGGCCCTGGGCTGGAGCCCCGAGCGGGTCAACGTGCCGGTACGTTCCGTACCGACCGTTTTGCAGCAAGCTGCCAGCGCAGCTGCCCACCCTGCCGCCGCTGAACCTGGAAGCCACCTGCGCTGCGCTGTGCAGGAATGGCGGCAGCGCTGGATCTGGACCCACTGCCTGGCCACCTGGGATGCCTCGCCGATCTCTTGAAGGTCACCACAGGCAAGGGCCGCGCCCGGCGGTGGCAACCGATTGCGCTGCTGCTGCGCAACCGCTGTGTGCCCTGCACGCCTGCGCAGGCACCTGTGCTGGCCAGCTCTTGCAGCGGCTTGTTGTATGGTCTCACTTGCGGGGAAGCAGAGTGCGTGGCGGGCGGCGCCTGAAGGGCGAATTGTCGGCCACCCCACCCCACCCCTCCACCCCACCTGCAGGTAGCCACCTGGCCCTTGTCATGTTCAGCGGCATGCTGCTGCAGCTGCTGCTGCTGCCGTGCATCGCCGTGCAGGCGCTCAGCGTGGCGGCGGCGCTGCGGGCGGACGGCGGCGTGTGCACCTCGCCACTGCTGGCTCACTCGCTGACCGCTGGGCGCATAAGAGCCTTCCACAGGGTCATGTATCAGGCGGCCATGTTGCTGCCAGGTGAGTGTGGCGCAGGCCTGCCAAGCAGCGACCCTCTCTCTCGCCGCTCGTTGGCTGGTGGTTGTGCTAATTTACTCACGCACTCACAACTGCCCCCTTGCCTGCGCTGCAGGCGGGCTGGGCAAAGCCATTGTGCCACTGCTGCGGGGCAACACGGCTGGGCAGCAATGCGGCACCTGGCTGTCCTGCCTCTTCCTGGCCGCCGGCCTCCTGCTGCCCGCCTTTTTTATCTTAGCCCAGCATGCTGCCGCTGTTTTCGCGCCGCTGCGCTTTTTGTCTGCCCGCAGCCTTGCATGTTGTCATTTCAAACACCATGCACACTTTCATGATGTGCTTCTGACTTCCATCCATTCTGATTGTTGACCCCCTGATTGTTGACCCCCATGCTGGCAACAACATCCCCCACCTGCCCATCAACACAATGCCCGCTCATCCGCCTCGGCTGTGACCCGCCCCCCATGCTGGCATCCCTTCCCAACCGACCCGTGCCCCCGCAATAAGCAATCCTGTTTTCAAACAACGTTTGACCACTTCTGTATCATGGCTTTGAATGAATCAGCCTCATGAGGCTGCTGCACTGTAACGGGCGCAAGCCTTGCAGAAGCGCCGGCGCCTCGGTGACCTGGCAGGCTATTGCAGTGGATGGGCTCCGGCCAAGCAGGTATGTAAACTTTCCACCATGCATTGTGCGCACCCTGCAAGCTGCACAGCCGGGATTGGCTGCCCCAGGCTCAGGGTTTGCCCAGCTCTAGGGCCTCGCACGGGCCTGTGGGCAGGAAGCGGCGGCCGCAAGGTGCGCTCGCAAACCAGAGCAATAGCCAGTGCTTCACGCTGCCAGATTGCGGCACAGGCTTCCCGAGCCTTGGCGGCGGCGGCGGAAGTGGCGGCAGCCCCAGGCGCCCTGCCTTCCCTGCCTGTTGCTTCCAGGGTCTGCCCACCAGCGCAACCCCGGCTGCGCAGCGACGGTCGGAGATCATGGCAGCAGCGGGCCGCGCCAGCGAGCGGGGCGCGTCCATAGAGGCGGCCAGCAACCGCCACGCCCCGGCCCTCTTCCTGCTCCGGAGCGCGGCCGCCGGCACCGGGGCCTACCTCGCGCTGCAGCGCCACGTGCCGCCCGACCTGGTGCTGGTGGTGGTGAGAGCCGGCGGCGGGGATGGGGATGGGGATGGGCCGCGGTGCACGCGCCGGCGGGATGCCAGCACGGCACGACGCTCCTGAGGTCCAGCACCTGCTTGCACCCACCCCGCCTGCAGGATGCCACCTGCTGGCTGGCCGTGGTCTCCTCCATCTCCTTCACAGAGGCCTGGGTCAAGGTGGGGGCGGGAACGGGCTTGCCTGCATCTGCGCATGCACGCCAGCCCGCTGCCGCCACCGCCCACCTGCCCTCCCACTCCCCAGTGTATCCCAGGGGCACCCTGCCTGCCTGCCTTTCAGGCTCGCCCTGCCCCACCTGTCTGCCTGCCCGCCTGCCCGCCACACAGACCCGTGCCTCCCTGGGCCGGCCCGCAGTTCCGGGCGCCGCTGCTGGACAGGCACGTGGCGGTGGATGTGGGGCGCCGCGTCTTCCGAGCGCAGTACGCCCTGGAAGGCGCCCTGGCCGGCACTGCCGCCGCGCTGCTGTGGGCACGGGCCGGCGGCAGCGCCCAGGGCGCGCTGGCGGCGGCGCGCGAGGGGCAGGGCGGCGCCCTGCTGGCGGCCGCCGCAGCCATCCTGCTGCTGGAGCTAGTCTGGCTCTTCCCGGCGCTGGACCTGCGGGGCAAGCACCTGATCGCCGCCTCGGCGGCAGCGCAGCCCGAGGCCCTGTCGGCCCAGCACCTGTAGTATGCGGCCGAGCTGCGGCGCCAGGTGGCGAAGTGGCCGCTGCCGCCACCCCAGCTGCACCTGCTGTCCGTGCTGCTGGCGCTGGCCAAGGCCGGCCTGCCGGCCGGCTTTGTGTGGCACCAGATGCTGGCGCTGGTGTGAGGGTGGGGGGCCGCGCTGCCGCTGGGAAGCAGAGCAGCGGCATAGCATAGAGAGTGGGCGGATCGGCGAGCGTTTCAGCGAGCAGAGGCGCAGCGTGCTTTGACAAATTTTGATTGGTTCACCATGTCTTCTGCATGCTGCTGCACAGTGCAACATACTCTGCCTTGTGCTCTGATGCGTGTTACAGTTCAAGGCGGCGGCAAGCTGCTCTGCTCCCGCTGCGCATGTCCTGGCCACCTCCACTCCTTGCTCCCTGGCACACCTGATCCGCAAGTTTTGAATCGGAAGACCAAGGGCACGCATGGTCAGCGACAAGCGCGCCTGGCACGAGGCTGACCGTGCTGACCGCCTGCGCTACTCGCAGCCCGCGAGGCTGTGCGGCGATCAGGCTGCAGGACGCGGCAGCGAAAGCAAACCAAAGCCGTCAGGTAGCGTTGGGCGCAGCTAGACGAAGCGATCGAGGCGCACCCCGCGCCCACGGTGTCTCTTCCTCTTTTTGCCTGCAGGCGGGCCCCCTTCGTCCCCTCCAGAGCAGCCTGCCACGCTCTACAGCCTGCTGGAACTGGAGCGCAGCGCCAGCCAGGCAGAGATCGGGCGAGCCTACCGCCGCCTGCTGGTGGCGGCGCACCCCGACAAGGGCGGCGACCCAGAGCAGTTCCGCCAGCTAAAGGACGCCTATGCGCAGCTGTCGGACCCCACCGAGCGGCTCATCTACGATGAGAAGCTCGAGAGGATGCACGGCAGCAGCGGTGGGGAGACCGCGGCAGGCGTGGCCGGCGCAGGGCCCGCGGGCCAAGCATGGTGCCGCCGGGCCGGTGGCGTCACCGCCGTGGTGCATGGGCAGACACAGGGGGCGCCGCCGCAGGACCCGGGCGTCCCCCAGGCAGCTGCTGCATGCCCTGCTGCAGCGGTAGGCGTTGGAGGCAGGGGCGGTAGCGAGCTGAGCGGGCTGCAGCAGGCCACGGCAGCAATCCAGCAGCTGCTGGCCGCCTCCGCCTCTGCAGCCCAGCTGGCACAGGCGCACCTGCGCCGAGCGGAGGCGCACCGGGCGGCAGGGCAGCTGCACCATGCCCTGTTCGACGCAGAAGAGGCGCTGCTGCTGCAGCCACACCTCCCGCAGGCGGCTGCCCTGCTTGCTGCGTTGCTGCAAGGCAGGGCAGGCCAGCCAGCACCAGCTGCTGCTGCCGAGGACTCTGATGATGAGTTGATGTAGCGCTGCCTTTTTCTGATCACAAAGTGAGCTATACATTGTTGGGACTAGCCTACAGAAGAACATGTAAAAGCTCGTGACGGCTGTGCAAGTCAGGAGCGGTGGGGTGGTGCCTATCTAGGTAAGGAATCGCAGGCGAGGGACACGGAATCCAGGAACGCAGGACAGGGCAGGCATACCGAATTTGAGAAGAATTGGGGTGGCAGGGAGACACCGTCGTTTGTCAGAGTGCGGAGCGGGAGGGGGGGAGCAGGGAAAGAAGGGCAGTGGGCGTGGCACAAAATGGGCAGGGGAGAAGGGAATGGGGGCGTGGGGACAGGTAAGCGGTATTGGTGCGGTGCGGTGCTGCATTGTTTCGTTTTGTTTTGTTGTGGGGGGGGCGGGGCAGGCGCGGCGCCAGGTGTCGGCAGCCGTGCCCGCCTGCGGCATTGCGGCCGTTACTTCTCTCAGCTCAGGAATTCCAGTGCCGGTTGGTAGTATGGGGATTGCTCGATGCCTACGCTGCTTGCTACGCTACTCGCTCGGGTCTATGCTGCTCTCTGGGGGGTGGGGAAGAATCTGGTTGAATCTTGAATCTATCGCTCTAGTTTGTATTTGCCATCTAAACCATGTACCTGCAAGCGCGGGCCGTGCGGGCAGCAGACCTAACCGCTTAGGGCCGCGCTCGGTGTACACGCCTGGGCCAGAGCCCCACCCTTCGCCGCTCCCAGCCAGCACGCCGCCGCCGCCAGCAGTCGCGCTGCCACTCCCCGCCACCACCAGCACGCCGCCACTCCCCGCCACCGCCAGCACGCCGCCGCTCACGTGTATCCGTGCATGCGGGCGCTGTAGGTGGCCAGCAGGCGGTCGGCAGCAGCAGCAGGCATGTCGCCGCGCGCCACCGCCGCCTGCGTGGCGCCGCACACCGCGCCCAGCATGTCGCTGGCGTGGTGGTTGGCTCGGGACAGCACCTGCGGGGGTGGGGGGAAGGGGCAGGCAGGCACAGCGTGCGCAGCGTGGGGCTCGGCTCCTCTCAGGCGCAGGCCAGCCTGTCCCCCACATGCTTTGCCTATCCCCCGCCTGGTCACCTCTCGCCTGGCCCCAGGCTGCTGGCCCGCGGCAAGCGAGGTGCCAGACCATCTGCCTTGCGTGACCGCCCCCACCGCAGCCCACCCCTGCTCAGCCCAGCCCTGCCCTGCCCTGCCCTGCCTCCCCGCAGCGCAGCGCACCTCCCCGATGCTCTCCCCCTGCACCACAGCGTCCACGCTGTACGCGCCCAGCCCGCCGCCCGCCTCCGCCTCCGCCTCCGCGCACAGTGAGGCCAGGGAGGCGCAGGAGGAGGCGGAGGCGGCGCAGTCGTCTGCGGTGGCGGGCAAGCGGGGGGTGGGTCAGGGGTGCAGGGCTAGGTCAGCTTTCATCGCTGGAAGACGCGCCACACGGCCGCGCAGAAATACCCGCCAGCTGCCGCCCCAGCCCAGCCTGCACCTCCCCCAAGCACCACTCCCAGCCGCCCTGGCCGCGGGCCCCTCACCCGTCATTGGGTGCGCCTGGTTGGCCGGGCGCTGGCCGGCGGCGGCGGCTGCGGCGGCGCCGGGGCGTGCGTCGCGCACCACCAGCGTGTTGAGGGATCCAAACATGTTGTGGACAGAGCCCATGACCTCCTGCGGGGGTGGGGCAGGCAGGCAGGCGGTTGGCAGGGGTGGAGCAGGTGGCGGGTAGGCAGGGGTGCAGGAAGTAGGCGGTCGGTTTGGGGTGCAGTAGGCAGGCGGGTGGCGGGGGGTGCATGAGCCGTGTTTGCTGGGGGCAGGGCAGCAGAGGGCCGCCCGGCCCCAGGGGCGAGGCCAGAGCAACCTGCTCAGCAGCTTGCTTCCGGAGGCGCCCCCGCACCACCACCACCACCACACCACCACCGCCACACCACCACCCAGCCCCTCACCTGGTACACTCCGGTGAGGAAGAGGGCCAGGTAGTACTTCTCGCCCTCGCGCAGCGGGTGCAGCGGCAGCGCAGGCAGCGGCTCGCCGCCCTGCGCAGCAAAAAGGGAGGCGGAGGGGGCAGGGGCGAGGCCAGCACGGTGACAGGTGGAAAAGTAAGACAGCGCCAGCTGGGGCCAGGCGGGCATCCGGCATCTGCAGCAGCGGGCGGCTGCATGGACCGTGCAAGGCAGCGCAGAGGGTGCCCCTCCATTCCTCCCGCCGCAAACGAATGCGCAGGCAGGCTCGCCCCCTCCTCTCCCCCCCAGCGCACATCCTACCTGCCTCCCAGCGCACACCTCAACTCCCGCCCTCGCAACCCAACCCCTGCCCCACACACAACCCCCCTCCCGCACCCACCCACCCACAAGCAACCCCCATCCCGCACACCCCCCCCCCCCCCCCCCAAA